ATGTTTGTGGTTATATTTTACAGGGTGAGCAAACTCTCCGGATGGAGGATCTTTTAGATTTAATTGAGAAAGAAGGTGAGAGCATTGCAGTGATTGTTTTCTGTGGTGTTCAGTATTACACGGGACAGTTGTTTGACATGAAGGCTATTACTGAGGCTGGTCATAAAAAGGTAATAAATACACAGTGGGTCATTGACCAACTGGCAACCATTTTGGTCCCAAAAATTGCAATCACAAAATTTCAACATACATACATTTTTTGACATGAGCCGATTTGATTGAAATTTAATATGAACACCAAACATTTAAAATGACTGACTGATATCTATGTTGATTATATTTGTAAGTGTCTTGGGAAATTTGCTAATTGTTTTGTTTCAGTGACATATTTCAGTTCATCTTCTTCATCTCTGACACTGGTGGTGTCAAAATTACCAGTACATTCGTGCACAGTTCTTCAGCATGGGTCAAAAACATAAGAAATTGTGTACAAATGCTATATTACAGCTGTCTCAAAGTCACAGATCATCTGAGCTAGATCTAATTTATGTTTATGGTTGCTGCAGGGACAAATGTGTTAAAAATTGATCTGCGAATCAGACACACTCTAAAAATTATTAAGTATACATGTACGTCTCTATAGCAACCTATATATCACCTGAAAGCTTACTCAATTTATACAGCAGATACTTTATATAACAAACTATCCGTAATATTCACCTCAGTGTCATCACATAGCTCCCTATCTCACTAGGAATTCTGCACTCTGAATCTTTCATTATGGCAGTGAGATTATTTGTAACTACTTTATTGTTTTTTTTTTGTTGTTTTTAGGGTTGCTACGTTGGTTTTGATCTTGCCCATGCTATTGGCAATGTGGAGATATCACTCCATGAGTGGGACGTAGATTTTGCTTGCTGGTGTTCGTACAAGGTACTGTGCTTTATTTGAGAAATTGTAGAACAAAATAATTGGAATGAATATTGGTCATTTGCAAAAATGTTGACTTTACTTTTGGTCAAAATAAAAACTACTGATGTTCATAATTCCCCAAAGCTAGGTTAGGTTTTCCTCTTCAAACTCCTATATAGGCGGTCACACGGAATTAATTAGCAACATTCCATGTAATTCCTATGTGTGTTTAATCGCATCCAACATGTTTATGTAATACTGTGGAATACTTTATTTTCGCTGGAATTTATTGTCACTGAAAAAGGCTTTTTGGGCGTTTTGTATGGAATTAATTTTCACTGATTTTTGATGAGTTTAATGTGAAATATAGGAAAAAAAGTATATTCGCTGGATTTTATTTTCACGGAATCATCCCTTCAGCGAAAATAGCGAAAATAAATTCCAAGCAAAAATAAAGTATTCTACAGTAGGCAGCACTACAAGATGGAAAGAATTTTGTGGTATACTGCCCTCTTCGGGTTGTTATTGTGAATTACTTTTGTTTATCTTAGTACCTTAATGCCGGTGCTGGTGGTATGGCAGGAGCTTTTATTCATGAAAAGCATGCAGACAATGATTTTCCAAAGTAAGTGTGGTAATCATAACAACTTAGCAAAATTATGGTGAAATATTTTGCACATTTGCTATTGTTTCTTGGTAATTTTTGCTTTGTAATAGCCAATTTTAGATCAAATTTCAATAATTTCATAATGCCTACACGTACTGGTCCAAATTTGATATTTTCATTGAAAGAGTTGATTCATTGGTATTTACAGAGTTTAGATGACTTTCAATATCGAATGTATGACATACTGTGAATGGTTTTAATTTCAACAGATTTGTATATGGGTTTATTATTTTTATTATTTTGTAGCGTTGACAATACCAGTGAATTTTCTGCCACTATAAACAAAACAGTTTCACAATCACTAACGCATTTCAAAGTGGAGGTACATTAACGTTTGCGTATCCTGTGCAAACACAAATGAAATGGTTCTTTTCAGGGCCACCACATCCTTCAAAAAGAGGGGGGTTATAATCGGATAAATGACTTGTTGTAAAATGCTGTAAATTTGGAGGAGGGTTTATACTTGAACAACTACGGTATATACATTGTAGTACACAATATTTGGTAATCATTGTCCATAGTAACTAATAAAATGTCTGATGCATCAGATTTGAAATGCTATAGCTCCAACGATGGCTATCCTGATCTATGCATCAGGTCTAAAAACGCAAATGATTTGGGAATTTCAAATTTTGTTACTATGACAACCAACAGTTGGATTATACTAGTATGTGTGTTTCTATTTCTATAGACTTATTGGATGGTGGGGCCATGAATACAAATCACGATTTCAAATGTCTAATGGTGAGTGATATTTCGTGTTTACGTTTGATAGAAAGTAGCTCTAAATCATTTTCTGACACTACCTTGAACCCTAATCCTGTCAGCCCAAGTACAGTAAAGCACTTTATTTTAGCTGAAATTAATTTAAGACATTTTAGCTTTTTTGTATGAAGTTTATTTTCACTGATTTTTGATGAACTAAATGTAAAATATTAGAAAAAGAGGTTAGTTTCACTATATCTTATTTTTGCAGATTCATCTCCTCATTGAAAATAGTGAAAATAAAATCCAAGTGAAAATAACTACTTTTGCATTGATTTTAACAGATAAGGGTTACAAAATTACAATGATATTTGCCATCCCAAAAATGAATGAAATAATTGCTCCACATTTTGTAATGTAATGTAGTGTAAAGATACGGAAGCAGTGTAGGGTGTGTGTGATCCATATATATGGACTAGCGCCCTCTAGTGATAAAATGGAAAGTGATTATGGGACATTTTTATTTAACCCTGTCTATTTGTTGCAGAGCTGGAGCTTTCTCCTGGTGTGGCTGGTTATAGGATTTCTAACCCCCCACCACTTCTAGTATGTCCGCTGTTAGCAAGTATGGATGTAAGTCTGAATGAGTCTTAGTAGTGCTATGCTTCCATTATAAATCATAGACAAAGTTAGAGTTCTCTTGTTTCTACATTGAAGAACCTAAGTCTGCGTCAGCAACAGAAATTTTGACAAGTTAGACGCTTTGTGATGCCATTGTATTTCATATAACCTTGAACTATTATAATGAATTAGGGTAAATTGTGCACTTGGGAAATATGCATACATTTTTAAAAGTTTTTGTCAATTTGTTTTGTATTTTTTGATCCATCTAATACTGAGGCAAAATTAGGTTTATGGTACCAAATACACAATATAATGACACACATTGAGGTAAAATACTAGTGTACAATCTATACTGAGGATTTGTTAGAACAGCAATTAATTTCCAGTTATTATTAGTGTATGCAATGTCACATGACATATTAACACACTCAACTAGTACCATGAATGTCACATTGGCTCAGTAATTGATTGGATGAAAACACAGCACGTATCCACATTTAAAAAAAACAACGAGAAACCATAGAAAATGATGGCAGTGTAGCATTTGAATTATGTTTTTACGTTGACATCATTTGTTTATTTCAAACAGATTTTCATGCAAGTTCCGATGTCTGATTTAAGAGCAAAGTCTTACCTGCTAACTGGCTATCTAGAGTTACTGATTCAAACATACTATTCTAAACCGTCTGATCCTTTGGATAACAAGCTCGACAAACCGTATGTGGACATCATCACCCCATCCGATCCAAAACAACGGGGATGTCAGCTCTCACTGATGTTCTCTGTACCAATTCTAAAAGTATTCGAGGAATTGGAAAAACGAGGAGTCGTGGTGAGTACCAAGAAGTTCACATTTTTAAGTGTGAGTGACAATGCTTGACAAAGTGCCCACTCTCACACCCTTTTCGATATGATACAAAATAAAAAGGTGTTGAAATCTGGTCATTGAACATCGTTTTACTTTTTCGAATAATTACATCATGCATTGTGAATATCATGAACGGGCTGTGTGAATGGCTAAACTACAATTCGGCAAACTACATTAGTAAGAATTATCGCCTTCATGTGGCTGTTATTGACCTTAGCATTCACTTTGGGACTTCAATTGTTGATGCAGCCTAAGCCAGGGCTAACAACTGTATATTGTCACAATATAAAATCGATATATTGGCAGTTATTACTGTAATTATTTATATTTTTTTTTTTCTTTATTTTTTCATTTCAGTGTGACAAGAGAGAGCCAAATGTTATTCGTGTAGCACCGACAGCCATGTACAATTCCTTTACAGATGTTCATAGGTTCATTACATTTCTTGGGGAAGCTCTAAATGCCGCTAAGTCGTGATTGTCTCTGTGATTTAATACGTATCAGATTTTATTTAAAATAGGCAGGCTTGTCGCATGACAGTTCATTTGATGTCACTGAGAGGAGATTTTAGTTGAGATAATTGAACCAGTGTCAGCTAATTTTAATGATTTTCAAGTCATTTACATTAAAGTGGCAAATTTTGTTTTGTATATGATGTATTTCACATTTGTTGTATACAAAATAGCTTTCACCAAACATTGTAATTATTTGCACATTCGTCAAATTGAAGTCACACTTTTATCGATATTGCACCTTCCATTGATTCAAATTTTATGCCATTCAATTGTGCTCAAAACATACTGTAGAATACTTTATTTTCACTTGGAATTAATTTTCGCTGAAGGAATGATTCAGTGAAAATAAAATTTAGTGAATATACCTTTTTTTCCTACATTTTCCATTCGACTTGTCAAAAATCAGTGAAAATAAATTCCATACAAAACACCCAAAATTTTTTTTCTTGCGAAAATTAATTCCAGCTAAAATAAATTATTTGTACCGAATTTTCAAACAATTTAAGTCTCAGAACCAGAATTTTTTTAAATCATATCTAAAACAGGCGATCCAATTCCCGATTCCCAAATTATTTGTGCATGCGTAATTGACCTAGCAATGGGCAAGGGTAGGACAAAAACTTAAGAAGTCAAAAGAACACCTGGAAGAAGTCAGTGGCATATTTGAAAAAAAATATGAGTAAATATGACCGTTGTCACATAGATTTTCAACTCCCAAGATACGTGCAAATGATGGCTGTTTTATTTTATGGGAATTTCGACATTGCGAGTTTCAAACATTGATGTTCGAAACAACGGTCGAAATCTGTCCTACCTCCCGGTTTGTTGAACTCAAGAAACGCAATATGCGCAAGCGCATAAACGATCAACACTCAAACGCCATCAATTCGGGAACTGGGAATTAAATGTAGAACGACTGAGGCAGTCAGTGTGGTGTGTTAAAATGTGCAATGATACTATGCCATGCTGTAATACACATGTACAAATCTGATTGGCAGTTGGCTGAAAAACTTTCTGTACACCACCTGGGACTGATATTGTTACACGAGCAGGTGCATTGTTCGACTGGTGTTTAAATACGTTAAATTGTCAGTTGTATTACAAATGTTATCGATAAATAGGATGTAATTGAACAATGCATCCCATCATCATGCACTCATTCTGACAATCAATATGTTTTTTTTTCTCACAACCAAAATCTCAGTGATAACAATTGGGCTGTCATGATGTCATGTGACGACCATTCCCAATCTATTAGTAATCAATTGACAAGAAATTGTTTTCTGTAGTTACTTAATCCAGTTCAAGTAAATATAAAGCTGCCAGGCAGCAATGATTGACTTGGGGAAGGGGGAGGGATCTCAGGAAATGTACATAACTAATGAAGTCATGTTAATAGTTTATACAGATCTCGTTTTTCCATACTACCTGTATGCATTGTTTTATCTCTTTTTGCATTGTACACGTATGTTTCTGTAAGTACTTGCAAATATCGGTGTACTGTGAATAAAAGGTAAATGTTTACTTAATTGTAATCTATTGGTTTGTCAAGGGGTACTGCCAGGCATAACGAGAGATACATAATCAATACTACAGTATGAATATGTATGCGTAACATCTGATAGAGCTATTGACGTTTGAATCATCATTATTCATTTCTTGCACTAGTTTAAACCAATATGTTGGTAAGTGTGGAGCTGGTGTACAGAGTCATCTCTGTTCTCTCTTGATTACAGTAAAGATGGTGTGAGCATGCCAATTATTCGTTAATACGTATAGTTTTGATTATTTAACATAAGATTCAGACTAAGACATTTCTTTCAAACAGTGGAATTAAAAATGGAGTCATGATGATAAACCTTTGGCTCAATGTCAAAACATGGATAATGTAAAAACAGTCATATAAATGGTTACTATGACAACTTCTGTAAAAAGTTTTAATGTGGCGAGAGACAAACTTTTGTGAATCAGTGAAAATCGTGAAATTGTGTAGCAATGAAAGTTTTGTCTTCTCAAATGACATAACATTTTGATATCGCAACAAAACTTACATTAGAATGACCAAGACTCTGCCACTTAGAATCTGCTCGAAGAAACAAAATAACACAATTGTTTGAGTTTTTTGTTTTGTTCAACGTTGTATATTTCCCGTGATTCATGATAATTAAAATTCATTTTACTAAATTTGAACGTTAAACAAAACAAAACTATATGTTGCCCGTAACTCGAAGTTTGGTTAACTTATTTAAAGTTTGAGTTACTAAATGTGGACGTTTGACAAAAATAAAAATTCAAGTTGCCCATAACTCAAAGTTTAGTTAACTGTTAATAAAAGTTGGAGTTACAATTTGGGCGTGGTTTTGCAAAAGTGGGCGTGGTTTCTGAAATATGGGCGTAGTCATTTTTCTAACTTGATGTTTTCGTCACTTGATGTTCGTTACTCGATGTCTGTAACTCGAACAATTCACCATCTTCACTCAAGTATGGGTGTTGTCACAGATTAAAGCTTCAGCTGGAAAATCATTATGTACAAATGTCAATCAATGCCTAAAAAGATTTGATGATGTCACTTCATGGCATTCAGCCATCGCCAATTAACACCATATTCACTCGCAAACTAATTACATTAACCAATATTCCTAAACTCATGTTTTATGTCATTGAGACATCATCAAGAAATACACTAATTACTTGTCGTGTCCATCCCCCAGATATTGAGTTAGATAATCCACGCATCCTGCATATTCTGCCATATAAAATATTGCCTTGATGTCAGACCCATATTACATTACCAGGATGCCCAACAGACTCCCAACATTCATACATCACAAAATTCTATAAACTGCGGAATAAAAAAAAAGAATAGAATTATGGTTCAAATGGGATTCGCCAAGACGTCAAAGTTAAATTCTGCAAAGTTTTTGTGTTATTGCAGAGTATGTTGTTGCATTGTTGTTTTATAACAGTCAGTGAAGGAGCAATGTCATTATAGATCAGCAATATCATCCAGCAGATGCTCAGCACTAAAATCCACATGACCCGAAAATGCCTCTGTACCATTTGATCAAATTACACTCAGAGGTTTCAAAATTTTGATCGTAAAATTACAATGACTTTTGCCATCCCAGAAATGAGTGAAATAATTGTTCCACATTTTGTAAACTGAAGCAGTTTTGGGTGTGTGTGATCTATGTATAATGACTAGCGCCCTCTAGTGATGAAATGGAAAGTGATTAAACTGAAATGGTGTTCTCGGTTAATCTCAGGGTTAATCTATTGAACAATTCATGTTTTGTACCTTGCAATTTATCATTCACTATGAAATGTCAATTTATTTCAATTTTTCTGTAACTAACAAATGCAATTTTCAAGATATAGGGTAAAATTTGGCTGAAATAAAATATTTTTAGACATAGATATAAATTGACAGAATGAATGCATTTATACTGCTGATAATGAGAACCAAGTGTTAGTCACGTGTTCTCCAAGTTACAGTGCAGTTTTCATGCCTCGCTAGTATGTTATCAGTTCCCGTTCGTACGGTAGTCCGAAACAGGAAGTAGTGTTTTTGGTTCCGAGCGTGCTTGCGTGCGTGCATCATCATGTTTCAGACACTCTTTGATGGATTCTATTCAAATTTGGTACACATATATGTCATGGAGGTATATACATGTATAGGCACATGAAGTTTTTTGTGATTAGATGAATTTTGACCGTTTGGCAGTTATTTTAGACCCCAAAATGTGCAGATTCTGATTAAGAGGAACTATAAATTACATGCATCTAATACAAAGTTGTTTTTATGTTAATTTAATGTCAATAAAGTTGCAGTATTGTGTTGGTTTGTCAGAATGGGTGGACTCGATTGATATCCCTAGGCACACTCCAAACACTTCACTTCCGTTCCTCTCGTTCCGGTTTTCACAAAAGTGAGGGCGCTATTTTTTGTCGGGCAATATCGCTGGTCGTTCACCAAAATGGATTGGTTAGTTTTCAATTAGCGGCCGCATCTAAATTTCTGTCAAATACTCGAACACAGAATGTGGCACTCTCAAACGCTCGTCTGAATCGGCGATCTTGGTATTGTGGTACTGTATATTCCCAAAAGTTCTTAATTTTCACGTGATCATCTCTCAAACTGCAAAAAAAAAAGGGGTATACTATTGTAATTTTCGTATTACAGTTTATACGATAAAAAAATTAAAACAAAAAGACAATGGAAAATACATGTATTTGTATAAATAAAATTAAACATTTTGTTGTTGAAACAAGGTAACTGCTTGAATCAATAGAGTCGGCAAATATTACTATTTTTATTTAAATAAAAACTCATCGTATTTATGATTACTTACAGTAGAGTTTATTAACAGTAAATTATCGGTTTCTGTTTCTTTCTCTTCGAATAACTCCGATATTACACCGACTGAACCCAGCGAACGTTGCCTGTGTTGCGTCATTACGAAACCGGGCTGTCACTCAAATGTGCCGTTAAAGATGGAATGCCCTCAATTGACCTTTGCGTCGTCGGCATGACAGAAATGCGATAGCTGTGATGAAAGGTGGTAAAAAGGGTGGCAGTCTTTGGCATGCCATTGCAAAATGGCTGGCTCCAGTTATGGATTCTCAAGCTGCTACCAAATAGTTTATAAAGCCAAAACAACGTGATATCCTGATTTGAAAATAACTGATTGCATACCTGGACCCTGCCTTTCCCCTACATTGTCTTATGGTCCAGGCAATGTGTTTCAGTGTTGCATCTTGGGAGATGATTCGCTTAAGTGAGGTAAATGGTAACACACCTCATGTTCGGGTCCATGTTTACGGATCTCTGTTGTCACTTCGCGATAATTAAGACTGAATAGTCTGAAGATCACTAAATTATTTGGTAAGTACAGAGGAGTATTTTGTTTTATCTACTGAGTGCGGGTTTTTATGTTATTTAATTAATGCATGCTGCAATAATAGATTTGATTGTTCGTTTATCATTCAAGCCGATTATTTATTATAATTTGTGTAGCCCTGCGTATAATGCTGTTTCGATCGGGGCTAACTACTGGACAATGCCCCACGTTTTGCATTTGATCGTCACTAATAGAGGTGGCGGCACGACATTTTACATGGAGGCGCGTGAT